AGCCACGGGACTGGCAGAGCTCCCATCGAGCAGCACCCGCACCAGGAACCCCTGGCAGTGCATCCCATCCCATCCCGTCCCATCCTGTCCAGTCCTATCCCCCCTGACCGTGGTGAAGCCACCCAGGCTTCAGAGCTGTCCCTGCTCACTGCAAAGAGCAGATCATGCACAGAAGGCTGCTGCTGCAAGGAGCGTGCCCAAGGAAGGGAACACTTATGAGTCTCGGTGTGCTTCTAGCCAGGCTTGCAAAGCCTCTTTGAGTGGCACTGTGAAAATAATAGGGGAAGCTGCATTTTCATCAAACAAGGCAGAGACAGCGATCCCACTGGCCCCACTGCATGCTCAAGTCTTTGGAAAATACAACCTTTTTGCCCCCTTGCTTATATGGAGCACTATGAACACCCCACCGGAGGCCCCGCTCGTGCCCACCATGGCAAGGACAGTGAGCTGAGAAACAGAGAAATGGAGAAATCGGGACCCTGCCTGGAGCAAGCTGGTTAACCGAGGCTCCAAGCCCAGAGCTCCATGGCAGGGAGCTGCGGAAAGGCTTTGGACCTCGTTCAGTCTCCTCCTCTTACCGGTTCTTATTAATTCATGCTCCCGATCGGAGGCCTCCCAGATGTCCTCACATCTTGTGCCAGCTCTCTAATCAAGTTGGCCTGGTCTCCATCCCCGCTGGGGAGAAGGTATCAGGTACAAGGTGGACGGAGCTGCTTGCCAGCTCCAAGGCCAGGCATCAGGTATAAAGATATGTTGCCTCCTGCCTCCGCCAAAGCAGCACCGGGTAAGATTTCATCTGCTTTCCGCTTGCTGATCCGATCGCTTTTTCGGTGCAGGCACCGCATATTTTGCAATAATCTGGCTTGTTTTATCATGCTAAGTGAGCGCAGTCTGAAAATATTCTCTCCAATCTTTTCCAAAAAAAAAAAAAAAAAAAAAAAAGTCCCTAGATTTTTAGTCTCCCTGCTGCATATTTTTAGCACGCATTTTCAACAGAAATGGCCCAGACTTGGATCTCCAGTGCCTGCACTTGGGGTTGCAGCTCCCTGTGCCCTGCACTGGGGTCCTCCACTCCCTTGGGCTTCGCTCCTTCGCCAAGGCCCCCAGCTAGTGAAGGCTCTGCAGAAACCCCCGGAGCACCATTCCTCCCTTTAACAGGGGAGCACCCAGCTGGGACCTCCTTGTGCCAGGCCCTGCGTGCCTATGCTGCCCCCAGACGTGTTTGGATGAAGACGTTGCAGCCGGCGCCAGCGCGCAGAGCAGCTGTTTGGAGCTGTGCTCTGCCCCTCGCAGGGGTGCTCAGCCCCAGGGCGCTGCAGAAATCGTCCTGGCCTCAGCTTCTGCACTTCCCTCTGGCAAGGGGACTTCCAGTGGGAAGTTATGCCAGTAAAACGGTGGCTCATCTAGGATCACGCCTTGCTCCCAGGGAGAAAGGTGAGGGAAATTTGGGCATCCCCTTCTAGGCATGGAGGGGAGCTGGAGCAGGGTTGCTTTCCTAGCCCAGCACCACTATGGAGCCAGGGAGCACCAGGAGGTCCTGTGACGAGGCCGGGTGGCCACAGCCCCGGGGACATTTGGGGACAATATGCATGTCCCTGCAGTGGAAGGCAAGAAGTCCTTGAACTTTCTGAGTGATGTGCAGAGGGGAAAGCCCAAGAGAATACCGTGCTCAATAGAGGATTTGGGGAAAACAGGACCCTCCATCGCCTCCTCCCTCTCCGACCGGCTCTCAGATCCTGGGGCTGCTACTGGCCTGTTCCCATTAGCTATTGTCCCCATTCAGCTGAGCTGAAGGAGCTTTTGTTGCGGGAGCCCGTGGGGTCACGACGCCCCTTGCTTATCAATCCGCTTCTCCCTGCTCCGGCCCGGCCGCCAGCGCCGGCTACAATGGGACATTTTCTTGGGCAGCCGCGTCCTGACGGGCAGCGCTTCCCCTTGCTCCCAGCCTTGTAAGCACTCGTTAAGCTGCGCTGCCCTGGGGCTTCCCGGATGTACTCCCAGTTTAACCCCTGATCCCGTCCGTGCTACGGGTCACCAGTAAAGGGGAGAAACAGAGCAGTTCCCGTGGGGGCCCGGGCTGGCCTCTGGGCTTGGAGAGCTTTACCAGACGTTCCTGCATGGGAGCGCCTGGGAATGCCATAGGATGGAAGTCCTCAGCCCCTTAGTATTATTATTATTGATACTAATATTGTTATTATTTCAAAATAATACATTTTGCATAAAACTAAGGCAAAAGCAACAGCATTTTGGCTGCTGAATGTAATCCATCCACTGGGATGGCCAAACTCGCCTCCCACCGCTCTGGTCCCACCTGCCAAGGTGGGGACAGGATCCCTGCGTGTCCCCGAGAAGCCGCATCACCCCACAAGTGACGGGATGCTCTGATGGGAGTGGAGCAGCAGGGCAGACTTTGAAGCAGACAGATGGAGCGAGCACCGTGGAAGAAATTTAAGAGGAGAAGAAAAAGGCTGGAGGAAAAATCGCCAGTGGTGCAGGCGTGGGTAAAATGGGAAGCACCTTTGGCTCCAGGCCTCTAAATTCCAGGGGAAAAAAACACCCGTTATCCCCAAGAATGGCTATTTTTGTATTAAGGCTCCACCAGAGAAAAGGCATAAATCCTCCGAACCGGCTCTAACAATGTCATCTGCCCAATTTTGCTAACTTTAGCAGCACTGTGTTTGACGAGTGGTCCTTGTACGTAGAGCTCTGAGCGGGCAGAGGCCTCGTGGCGCCTGGGACGAGCTCGTAGCAGCGGGCAGAGCGATGCCAAGGCGCTGCGGGTGCAGAGGGGGGACACTGCAGCGCTTCCCCATCCCTCCTCTTGCCCTTTGGTGAAACACCCTGCTGCTCACTGAGCTGTCACAGACCACAAGAGCCGCTGTGTCTCCAGCCTGAGCACTCAGAAATGAAGAATCAGGTGCTGAGAAAATTAAAAAATCACAAAATTGCCTTAAATACAGGCTGATTTTAAATACAAACATATTTGGCTTAGTTCTTTCTGAACACTGCAATTTTTAAAGTGACTCATATTTTCACTAGGTAGCCAGCGACTTTTTTCAATGAAAGCTGAGCTGATCCCCGGTGTTTCCAGGATCACTCGGGCAGAAGAAAAGCACCAAACCTCCCCAGCTGTGGGATGCACTCACAAGCTCCTGCCACTCTCTTGTGCCCATTTTCCTCCTTTGCTCATTTCTCTGCTTGAAACAAATATTTATTTCAACAGAAAACATGCCCCTGCCCCCAGCACTGAGGAAAAAAGCAGAAGTGAAAGAGCTTCGCATGGGTCCACTCCAAGGTCCTTAGAGTCAGCAATGGCTTTTTATCCACTCCACGTACTTGGCATCATGGCAGAGGTTGATAACGGCATTTTGGTTCCTAATGACAAACATCATTGCCTAGAGGTGTGAGGGGCCTGACCTGCTCCTACCCTCTTGGGAATCGGGCGCCTCCGCTTGCACGTCAAAGAGCTGCAAGACCCAAAACGCTAAAATAATTTGAATTTGTCACCTTTAAACGGCCCTCGCGAATCTGAGATTAAGTGATCTGGTTGCAGAGAGGCTGGGGAAACCTGTGTATTAAAGGTAAGTTCCTTTGCTCAAGGAGAGAAAAACTGCTGTAAAGTGGTGAGAAGATTGAAGACAATAATTCCTTGCGACAAACATTTGTTATTAATTTGAGCCTGTTTACTGTTTGGAAACATGTTTTTATTAATCAGCTAGCTCTGCAGATGGTTGGTTATTATTCATTGCAAAATTTGCTTTCCCCCCCCTTTTCATTGACTAATTTGCAGACACACCAGCTTTACTGCCAAGCAGTCAAAGTTTAATCCCTCAGCTAGGTCCACACTGAACAGAGGAAAGGAATAAGATCTAAGTGAAGTGTTTCATGTGCAAGTTTGTTTAAAAATCCTGCAATCTATGACAAACATTTCCAATTAGAAGGGCATTCCCCCGGGCAAGGAAACAAGGGGCAGCAGCGGCGTGGAGCTGAGAGCTGCTCCTGCCCTGGAGACCCCTCGGAGCACAGGAGCCGATGCAGTGCCATCATGCCGTGATGGGTGTCGTGCCCCGGTGTGTTGCCTCCCGTGGACCTGACTGTGGCTCGCGTGTGACGGCGGGTCCAAGCGAGCAGGGAACGATCCGTTTGGGGGTTTTTTTTTGCTGG